TAAAGGAGAGGTCAGTGAAAAAGAGAAGGCCCTTAACAAGTGGGTTTTCCACAGTGCCTGCAGCAGTTAGCTCAGACATAGCAAGGTCTGTGAAGATTGTGGTGCAAGACCGGCACCGGGCCGCGTTGAATTCGGTTTTATATATGGCTACTATGAGGCAGAACAGACTTGACACCTAACAGCAACAAAAATGTCTTGAGAATAAGGGGATGATAAGTAAATGCTAAGTACTTGTAGTTTTAATTTGTACTTCTCTGATGAATAATGATACAGAGTAATTCCCTTGTTGGTCTTTGGATATCTACTTCTGTGTTGTGCCTAAAGAGTTTTTTTGTCCTTTCTAAAAAAAAAAAAATTGTATGCATTAAAAAAATTAATTTCCAGGGGATGTTTATATAACATACATATATGTCCTTTTATTACATATGTAGTACAGATTCACTGCACCATAGTTTGTGTTATAATTTTCCAAAGAGTGTCTTGTCTAATTACTTATCTTGAATATATTCTAATTTGGACAAATAAATAAGTAAACAAACAAGCATGTTCACATATGCTTAGTGTTTCTTTGTGTCCTACTTGAAAAATTTGGGGTTTTAAGTTTACCATAAGGTTATAAGAATATTATCTTGAAAGCAAGCATGGAACCCACAGAGCAAGTTAAGCTGAGCGCTTTTGTGCAGGAGGTTGGCTTGCAAAGTGGGGTGCCTCTGGGCACTTAATTTGGGAGCTGGGTTTGCTCACCCCTGGAGCTGAATGCAGTCAGGCGGAGGTTTACCGCAGAGGGCTATGCCCTTTGGGCATTTATTAGCAGACCAGAAACTTTGTAAGATGTCCTGGTAAACAACTGCCCTGAGCATTTCTCATTGGCATTATAATTTGCTAACTTTCTTCAATAAACCCTTTAATCGTAAAAAAAGGGAATAGAATCTTAATTTCTTCTGGAAGTATTCTTGTTTAACATTTTATATTTAGCTCAGTGATCCTTCTAGAATTAAATTTCGTGTATCATGTGATATAGGAGTTAAGATCCATTGTTTTCCCATATGGATATCTAATTAACACATTGTAGTGCCATTCCCACTGTAAATCAATATTGAATGTATTGATCTGTTATATTCCATTTTGTTCCATTATCAAATCATTTTAAAAATTAACCCAAGTAGTATAAGTGTGGAGAGCTTCTAAGAAAGAACTAAAAACCCTCTTAGTGATCTCTGAACCAATGAGATACACGCACACACATACACATGTGTGTAAGTAAACAAGTATTTCTACAAGATGATAAAAGAACACTTCATTAAGCAAAAATATGAAAATGTGATGTTATTGGGTCTTGAAATAGCTTGCATCTAGGTCTATGCACTTCTGAAGGCACTGTTTAGATCTCTAACGTTTTCCAAAAGAAAACGTCCACGGTGATTCATTTCAGGGAAAATGGCAGTTTGGGTGTCCTTGAGCGACTCAGATTGTGTTTCTTCTGCCTGTCCTTTGTTTGGAGCACAGCAAGATCTCTGAAAGGGAAAGATTGGGACAATAGGATGGCTAGGGCAAAGTTTCCCCACAAAATTCTCTTTAGACAGCTCTTGCTATCTTTGAAGAATGAACAGGTACATTATCCTAAAAAAATTTTTCCATTATTGGAAAAATATTTTTAAATCCTCAAGGCCACTTTTGTGGTCTTTTTCTCATCGATACACTTTAAAATTTTATTAATTGTTTTTCCTAATAAGCTCCCATCACTGTCCCATGTCCTTTGAGAAGGTCTATAAAAAGTATTCCTTTGGAATCTTTAAAAAACGGTCACCATAAACTTCTGACCAAATCGGTGCCTTGAATATAACTGGTCCAGGAGATCTCCATAGAAGTCACTCTTTTGCTTGGACATTGAATTTTGAAGGCCCTAGCAAGACTGTGGCAAGAGTATTACTGAGAGAACTTGTCTGCAGCCATTCACTGATCACAGAAATTGGTTTGAGCATGTTTGTTTGGAATAAACCTGAGAACATATGAGCTGGAACACTACTAGCAATACATTTTACACACACACACACACACACACACACACACACACACACACACGGAACCCCCCCAAAATGGAATTTTTTTTCAAAGCTTTGTATTTAATTTTTTTAGAAAACAACCTTATCACCTTCAAAGTGCTCTCCATTTCACTTAATGCATTTGTCAAGTCTGCGATTCCATTCTTGGAAATGTTTTTCAAACTCATCTGTTTGGATGGCTGATAGCACCTTCCTCGTTTTTTTTTTCTTCACTTCTTCTATGTCCTCAGATCACTCCTTTCACGTCCCTCTTCATTTGCAGAAACAAAGAAGTCACACAGAGTGAGGTCAGGCGAGTAAGGTGTGTGCAGCAAGAGAGGCATGCTATTTTTTGCCAAAACCTGGTGCATTGAGGTGGCTGCATGAACCGGTGCATTGTCGTGGTGGCAGAACCGGTCCCCCGTCTGCCACAAATCAGGCCTTGTTGTCACACACTGTATACAATCTTTTCAGAATCTCTAAATAAAAAGCTTGATAAACAATCTGACCTGCTGGGACGAACTCCAAATGCACTATCTCCTCACATTAAAAAATCCCCAGTGAGCATCAGTATTCATATGTAAGTCAGATAGAGAGGATAGGTATAGCTAGATAGATGGACAGACAGATGTAAACACCCCACCACCCCCTGCTTATTTAAGGCCTCTGCACTCCTTATAGTGCAGACTTTTCAAGGACATAGTGCAGACTTTTCAAGGACATAATTTAGCCAAGACCCACCTTTCCACATGCAGTACACCTCAACAGTGTGGGCTTTGTATTCCTTTAAGAAGACATATGCTCCATACCTAAGTTTTAAATGTGTATCCCTCCTCCCCCATCCTTGTTTTTGCTTCCTCATTCTTTAATTCTCAGGGCAAGTATTTCTTAATGAAGTCCTCTCAGACTTCCAGAGTAGATTTTGGTTTTCTGTTTTTCACTTTCATGTTATCTTTCACTCTATTTCCAGGGAAGCCGTTCTCTTTTTTTTTTTTTTTTTCTTCCAATTACAGCACAAGCTCTAGGGGGCTAAGGATCACGTTTATTTTGCTCACAGCTGCTTGCTACTCTTTGTGTTTAGTCCCGTTCCTAGCAAATCGTAGAAGCTCAATAAATATCGTTTGGTTACAGATTTATATTTCATGTCTCGGACATTTATATAGTCTGTAGAGACTATGTCTGAGACATTTATACAGTCCACAGAGAACGGTTTGATAAGAAGTAAATCACGCAAACTACTGTTGTTCTGTGCTCTAGTGTCCTAGGGAGTCTAAGAAATTCCAGGGTAGGGATGCTTTTCCCATCTCTCTGGATTGGAATGCACCCTCCCCTAGATTTTCACATTCTTTGAGTATTTTTTCTATTTCTTGAGTGATATTTTTATGCTTAAGATGAAAGCCTTACAGTCAGGAGATATATCGTGTTTAACAAAAATGGCAGTAAAACTGCCCAAGCTATGAGTGTATTATATAGACATAGTGAATAAGTAAATAAGCTACGTGATAGTAAACCTTTTTTTTGGTATAACTTTCTGGAGATGATACTAAATTACTAAGGTACAGTTAAGAGTATTTGTGTGTGTGTGTGTGTGTGTGTGTGTAATTGTCTGCAGCATGAAAAAAGGGTGTGGATTATAGGCTTGGAAAATTCTTAGTTACAAATGTATACCCTTTACTCTTTGCTTTCATTTATATATATTGTGGACAACTTTAGTGTTTTCTCTTTCTCTTTTCAGAAATAGCAACAAATAAGATCATTTTCTTTTCCTCAGATCTCATTGTGGACTATCAGTGTTATTCTTCATTTAAAATATAAATACTCTGATAGAGACATCTCTTATCCTGATAATCTTATTGATGAAATTCATAGGATCATGCCGACATTGTTATTACTAAGTAAAGGGTTTCTTATTTTTATTCTAGAAGAGAGTCACTGTGTCTCATCAATAAGAAAGTAGGATTAAAAGCAACGTGAGTAGGGATTACATTTGCAGAGCTTGTCTATTTTATTCAATAAATGTTTATAAAGGGTCTATTTTTGTGCTTGAAGGTGGGAAACCTCAGAGAGAGAAATAGGCATTTTCTATCAGACATAACCATTTTAGTTCAGACAATAAAATTCTGAGGGTAAGTCCTTTCTTAGCCATGTCAGTTTTCTCATGTATAGAATGAAGATGGGGAAAATGTACTCATCTCCTATGGTTATTGTAAGGAGTGGGATAAGGGAGTACTGTACGTTTAAAACACTTATCCCAGGGCCTTACATTTAAGAAGCACTCAGTATAAACTGTTATTACTATGAGCCTTTATCCACAATTAGCCTCTAAACTATTTATTTTCCTGCACTTGTCCTTGATTTTCTCTAGGTTGCCATCAGAGCTACATTTCTGAAACACCCGTCTACTTGTGTGTCCTCTTCTATACTATCTACCTAAAGGCTTCACTGGTTTTCTGTTGTCTGAAGAAGAAAGTTTTAAATGCATGGAAGTCATTGAGCCCCTCAACCCTGAAGCCTTTGCCTTTTTTTTAACCCAACTACCTTCTGCCCTAGACACCCACCTGCAACACCACTGTTGCAGTCCAAACAGACCTCACACAGTTATACTTCCTCACCGTGACTTTGCACGTCCTTCTGCCTCCCATTCCCAGGGTAGGCCTCATCCCCTCTCTCATCCTCAACCCGTGGAGACAATTACCTATAGACAACTCAGAGATTCTGCTCATTCTTCCCAGGTAGTATTTTGTAGTTCATGTTCATTGATTCCCCCTTTAGCATTTATCACATATTGCTAAAGTCATTCTCCATGTCTTGTCACAACCATTAGATTGTGAGTTTCTTGAAAGCATGTCTTATTGGGTATTATCTGAACCTAGTAGCCAACCAGGAAACACTTGAAGAAGTAAAGTTTGAGATCTGACTTAATTATGTTTTGATTTCAGTCTGGTTTTATGATTCTAGGTTCTGGGCCTTGTTCAAAACATGAGTGTTTTCCAGTGTCCAAAATGTAAACACAAAACTCACATTTTTGGTGCTGATGGTGCAAGGAAACTAGCACGGACCCTGGATCTTGATGTTCTAGGTAAGACCATAGGGTGTGATTTTTCATAGAAATGGGCAGAAGGAAAACTGGAGATGAGGCATGGGGATGAAGAGACTCTCAGAAAATGATTTAATTCCTTTAGTTTTATGTTGTCAATTAAGCTAGTCTAGTGTAGTCCTATGTATTAACTTTCCATTGCCTTTTTAGAATACTTCACTAGTAGAAGGCTTTTTGTATCGCAAGATTTGCACTGACATGCTTCTCCTATGGATCAAAATTGCCTGTAACCTGGATCTGAGTTATGTGATCTGGGTACGTGGCCTCAAGTCCATGTTTTAAATAACAGTCATCAGTGTGTTAACTTGGAGACGTGTCTCTCAATACAGGCAAGTCTATATGACAATACCTATTCAATATGTTGTCGCAACCTCTGGAAGTATCAGTTCATAGTGCATAAGTGAAAATGCCAATTTTTGTAATCTTTGTATAAATATTGGTCCTGTCTACAAAATAGGACACATAAAATTTACACTGTGTAACTCTGTTTAAAGCAGTAAATGGGAGAATTAATTAGTGTTGTGAGAACTCAAATCATGTTAAATATAACACAAATTTTGGATAAAACATGATTTTTAAAAGTCCATGGGCAACTTAATAGACTTTTTAGAAAACATGTTTTCATATACTAATTATTAACAAGTTTCTGTTGGGACAAAGACAGATGTTAGATGTTGAATATGGGAGGCATACAGTGAATTATTACTTTTAGGTAGTTAAAATTTAAGATCCCTTAGAGACTGAGGGATTTCAAAACATTCTATAGTATAATTAATTTTCTAAAAGTTGAAGTTAAATGTATTATTGTTATTATGCAATTGTACTATAGCAGCCACCACAATACCAGGTGAATACTAATGATATATATTGATACATTGCTATAATTATAGACACTAATTATATTCTATGACTGTTTTTCATTTAACTAACCTAGAAAGTTCAATTTCCCAAATCTGCATAATAACATAACCAATCGACATTCACTTATATAATAAAGTAAATGTGTAATTATAATGGCATTATTGAATTATGTTGGCAAAATTAGAATTTCCTCACTTATAAATGGGTGGTACAATTTTGTAAGTCAGTTATTTAGAATGAGACAGTCTCACATATGGAAATTCCATTCTAACCAACAACTCACAAATGTATGCTTACCCTAAAAATGTATCCAGAACAATGACACTGCTCACAGAAATTAGATAATATTACAGACTGACTGTTTATCTAATGGCTTTGGGAGGAAATAATTCTGTGTCCCAATGTACGGCCACAATAACTCCTTGTAATGGCATCATGAGCTCCACATGGTATTGAACAAGGGCTCCAGTGATTGAAGAGGTTACAATTGGGAAAGGAGCTTGAAAGTGGGGAGAGCGCTCTACTATCCATGGTTTCTGACGGGTTGAGCCCTCTCAGAACCCTTGCTTGGATCTTTCACTGATGTCCTAGAAACCTATTGGGATATGTTTTAAATTATTTGATAAGATTACTTTTCAGATTCTTGATCTATATTTACCTGTAGCGAAAATAACATAAATAATAGTTAAGATGATCTCTGACCATTTTAGAGAAAAGCCTTTTAACCCACTATACATCCACTATACATCGGAAATATATTCTTACTTCCTCTAGCTCTAGCCCCTCAAAGAGACTGTGAAGTTCAGTATCTCCTCACTCATTCTGTATACCTCTTGACCCTTTCATGCCTCTGCAGCTGAAACTGTTGGCCTGTTACCCACTCTCACTGTGCTGCTGTTTTCCGGTAGATTTCCCTCCTTCATAGTCTGTTCTTCCGCACCTATAGATAGGATTGTGGGGCCCTAGAGCCTCCCCACGGCCTTTTCCATTACATCAGTGGAAATGAAAGCATCCAGGATTCCGTATTCTAATGGCAGTTCATAAGTCAAGAGAAAAAATGATATTAATTTCTAAGCATTTTCTCTAACTTATTTTCCCCTATAAACCTTGTGAATATTTCTTTTTTGTGTGTGACTATTTCTTGTAGAGTCTTAAGTTGAGCCATAGACTAGGCATCAAATTTACTGGAAAGCTAATCTTTAAATGGATGCTGAAATATTCATGCACTTTTTCAGTTGGCTATGGAATACTTAGGAAAGACTTAAAGCATTGCTTAAGATTTCAAAACTAGCTGACAAGAAGGGTATGAGTATCTGTTCTTCTGCCATATATATATGTTTATACATATATTAATAGTATTACATTTTTATAACATGTTCTCATTGTGAATTATTTACATTGCCTGGCATGGTGCTGAGTTATTATTTAAGTAAATACACTTATACCACATGCTTCAATAACTTTTGCATAGATTTGGAGTGGCTCAGAATGCAGAGAATCATGAGTAGTGAACTCTTCAACCTTTGGTTCCACTTACTTCGTTTCCCATCTCAGCCTTTTGGCATCATTTGTGATACTATGGTGTAAAATCTCTGTTGAATCATATGTCAGAGTATTTCACTCTCAAATTTTAAGACCTAATAATAAAATCCCCCCGAGAAAGGCATATAACTTCAATCTCTTATCTGTATAATAGAGCTTCTTATCAAATACTTCCTGAGAGATCAAACTCACAAGTCACATATAATGCTACATAGATTAGTAAATATCAGGGAAAAAACTATCTGATTAAGAGGCACATAGTTGAGATAACAAACCTCACCTACTTTTTGACAGTTTTCCTAGCCCATCTGCCAATATCAGGAGTTTATTTTTTGTACTTTTAAAAAACTATATCTACTCATCACTTATTTACTAACTTAACTTATAATCCAACATTTCACATTTACAATTGTGAAAACTCTGTCTTACTATTTTGTGCATTAGTGACATGTATCTGACTGATGGTTATTATGTATCAGCTTGGCTGGGCCATGATTCTCAATGGTTTGGCAGATATGTAATTATGTAAATTAGCAATTTTGTAATGATTTAGTCATCTTCCACTTTTGCAGAATGCCAATTTTTGCATTTGTCTTTGAAACTTACCTATATCAATAAGTGAGGAATGGGGTACTTTTTCTCTTCAATTTTATCTTATAGTATGGTGTGATGTAGTTTTACCAGATGTTACAGGGAGAAATGATTTACAAGTGTCTTCCAAATATTCTTTGCTAGAAACCTCTAGCAAAGTATAAAATCACGAGCCTTATCTCTTGAGTGGCTGCCACATAGATTTCATAAACGTCTATGCAATCACTGTACTACCCTCAGGTAGATTTTTGCCTACAATTTTCATTTGAAATCTCCTTTTGGTATGTTTAGCCACTTGAAGATAGAACTCAAGTTGATTTGACTTTACTTAGCCAGATTTTGTTTCTTCCTGAAGTTCAAATAGTAAAATTCCAAGTGCTTATGTGATTCTCCTGGTACTAATGGGAATCTGTTGGCTTCTTGTAGGGGACATTCCTTTGCACCTCAACATAAGGGAATCTTCAGATAACGGCCAGCCAATTGTGTTTTCACAGCCTGAAAGTGATGAGGTGAGCTGTACTTTAAAATATATCTTCTTCTTTCTTTTTATAATGACAGAATATTTGCTTCTGATGTACAGAAAGAAAATTAGGAAGACCAAGGTTATCTATTTAAAAGTTCATATATGTAAAAACAGACATGCCAGGACCGGCTATCAACCAGATAAATTCATCTACATAGAATTATAACCCACACAGTTTTCCAACTGGAATATGAACAGTGAAACTTTGTAAATTTCTTATCTTGCTAGTTAGCAATAATCTAATTGCCAAGTTGATTACACATCAGTCTTAAAGGTTTGGCTGAGTCTTGAGGGAAGGGAACCTTATGAAAAAGGATTGAACTGATTATAGGAAAATTTATATTGACCATTTATTTATAAAATTTTCATTGAATTTATTTTAATGTATATAGTTGAAGAGGTGAGATAGAAAGGCAAGTAGTATTTTATTGGCCAAGATATTTTGGGATACAGTAAAGAGATTATCAAGGTTTCTGAAGTTTTATCGCTTTAAATATAAACTTTTAGTCTGTAAAAAAGAAAGAGAGAAAATCAATCACATGTACTTTTTTCCTAAGTAGCACTTGTTATGTAAGCCAGAAATCAAATCATCATATGGTACATCAATTTTGTACCATTATGTGGTACAGTTGTTTTTTGTGTTCCTTTGCTGAATGACCCTAATCTAGCATTTAATAGTTTTACTCACCCCCCCCCTTAACTATTAACTTTAGTATAGGACTATTTCATACATCTATAAACTACTACATTTCTGTTCTATTTTTCTTCTCTATTTAATTTTCTGTGAACTGGAAAATAAGAGAGACAACCTTGAGTGGAGTGGAGCTGTGCATAAAGCAAATTGACAAGTCTTGTCTAAGGAGAGTAAATTTCAATGACCTTCTTAGGACCTTAGAAGTTCTTTCCCTTTCTTAAGGGTCAGCAGTTACCGTACAGATGATTAAGTTGCTAAGAGCATGATCTTTGAGTAAACTCAGTGGAACGTTTCCTCTCTCTGCTCTTAGGTATTATATGTGTTTAATTTTATTTTCAAAGAAATGTTTCATCTAAGAGAAAGTCACAGTTATTTCTTTCATAATTAAAGTTTGATCATCCCAACTACCATAGGTGTGCTTTAGCTTATGAAGTGAATGAAAACTTATATGAAAATTGAAGTTTAAATACAAACACATGCACATTTTAAGGTACTTACTAAGAAGAGACTATTGGGAAATGTTCTATAGTGATTCCTTATGAATGAGAACTTAGCAAGCTCGTATGAGAGAAGGATCATTAAATCTGAGTAAGCTTGTGGTTTCACTACGAGTTCTGCCATTGTCTGAGTGTGACCTTCGATAAGTGCCCTAACTCCTGTGAACCACTCTCTCTCCATCTATTGATCGTATCATAATCATGAAGATTTAATGAAATAGCATTGTGAGAATACTCTGAAAAATTCCAGTTAAGGTACAAGCATGAGTGTATTTATTGCCTTCTGAAACTTCTTATGTAAGATGTCATGGCCCCAAAATGCCATCCCCCTTTCCTTTTTAAAGGACTCTCAGCCCGCTTATGCCATTCCTTTTATCTAGGAACAAATAAATGTTATTTTTTAGTCGCACCTCAAAATCAGCATAGCAGAATTATGATCATGACAAGAGAATAGAACTTTCAGCTTTAGTGTTGAAGAAACTATCTCTTACAACCAAGGAACTTCTGGTGGAGTCCTGGAATCCAGATCCATTTATTTGGCTAGTCGTGTTGAATCTGACCTTTTGATAACCCTCTTCCTTTCCCCTTTACCCACTCATATGGAAACTTGTTCTCAGAAACTAGCTTCAGTCTTCTGAACAGATTCTGTAGTATTCATGGAAACTTAATACCCATATTACTTGTTTCTTTTTGTTTAAATATTGAAGCATTTAATTGTCAACATGATAAATGTCCATGAAAGTTATTGGGATAGATTCTGTCAAATAATGTTAATCCCTAATCTTTCAGACTAACACATTTTAATGTTTGGGTTTAGAGACTCATAAACCTATTGCTATTGATGCAGACTCGGAGTAATGCTACAGGACAGAGGAGAACTGCCACAAAGGGTTCCCAGTTTGACTGCTACATTTTTTTCTTCCTAGAAACTGATACACCGGCAAAAATGTTCATCAGAAAAATTCATCTATAGCTCTTTCCCTTTCACCTTACTCTGTCTTCTCTTTTCTGTCTTCCATCACTTTCTCTTTAAAGCACCAGATTTCAGGGCTCTCATTTTTTGCTTGTAAAATATTTTAAAATTAAGCATTAGTGCATTGGAACTACCTGATAAGGAATTCAAAACAATGATATTTAGGTACATTCAATTATTCAGAGGAAGTTCCAGAAAATGATAAATGAAATCAAGATGAACATAGAAAAAACTTCTGAAGACACTATAAGGACAATACTACAAGAACAAGCAAATAAAATAAATTAAAAAGTTAGAAACCATATAAAATATCAAATAAAGATCTAGAAGATTAATACTAACTTTTCAGAAATAGATAATACATTGAAAGGGCACAGAAGTATAATTAAACCAATAGAAGAGCCAATTAGTGGGCTTAGAGACAAATCTCTTGATACTAATCTGCTAGAAGAACAATCAGAAAAGTACAAAATAATTTAAAGAAAGCCTAAAATTTATGTGGGACACCATCAAGAAAAAAATTTACAAGTGCTTGCTTTCCAGAAAAGGAAGTGACAACAAAAAGCACAGAAAAAAATTGGTCAAAAGTTATTGGAAGAAAGCTTCCTTAAGATCATAAAAGATGTAATTGATATATGAATTGTTATAAGAGCTGTAAGAGCCCCCAATAAAATGGTTTATAAAAAATGGCAATAAAATCTATATGACATAATATCTATACATATATGTCATAAAAAATAAGAAGATTTGTATTCAAGAAGCTGAACAAACCTCAAACAAGATAGACCTCCTCCCCTACGTCCCCCTAGTCAAACTTTCTAAAACCAAAGACATGGGAGGAATCCTGAGAGTAGCTCTGGAAAAATATAGCATTACCTACAAAGGAGAACCACTAAAACTGAGCTCTGATTTCTCACCAGAAATCATCCAGCGCAAGAAGACATATATAAAACTCTGAAAGAATTGTCATCCAAGAATACGATACCAAGTACAATTGTCCCTCAAATACAACAGTGAAATTAGAACATTTTTAGATAAATATAAGTTAAAGGAATTTGTAAAATCCAGACCAACCTTATAAGAGATACTGAAGTCTGTTCTTTGGACAGAGAACCAGCAATGGCTGACAACAATTTGCGATTATGATACATCACCTAAAAGTCAGCCTATGTGGAGAAGTATCCAAAATAAAACAAACCTACAAGACTGAAAATAGAGAACCAGAGAGATTAATTTGTAATGAAAACAATTGCAAAGTAAAAAGGGAGAATAGTGTAGTTCAGAACTTCCAAAAGAAGAGATAGGCAATTAGATTTCCAGAACTTGAGTGAAGGGGAGAGCAGTATAGAGTAAGAGGAAGGTTGGCAAAGAATGAAGACGGTGGGAAAGGACCCTGGGAATAATGCAACAGTCAATGTCAACAGAGACAAACACCACTATGTATACAATCCTGTACTCATGGTGAACTGTAAGTAGATTTGTGAATGGACACAAGCTGAGCAGGTATGGAAAGTGAATGGGAATATACATATATATGTTTGACAGGATATTTGTACATAGGTGTGGTGAAGTGAAATTACTTGGTACTGAACTTCTATCCATAGTCACTGGAATTACTATCAAATGACTGCCTGAGATCATGCAAATATGGTATAGAAGACTATAAATGGAGGCACTCAGCTTCGTCATCCCAACAAGTATAAATGAGCCATCTCAGAAGCTGGAAGAGGAATCCCACAACTATCGAGAGTGCTTGCAGGGTCTCCGCTTACAGTTGTAGAGGCTGCACCAGTGAGACCTGAGACAATGAAGAGCTGAGATATTGAGGCAGAGTGGTGCCTTTGCTTCCTGGCCCAGGGAATGAGGCAGAGGCTAAAATCCCATATGGCTGAGAGGCTGAGGACCAGAGAATGACATGCCTGCCAGAATGGTTGAGGAAAGGCTCTGCGGGGTAAAGAACTGTATCTTTAACATTTTGTTACCTATTAGCTCCCCCAGGATAACCCATAATCCTGAGTATTGTCTGTGAGTTCTGTGTGGCCATTGCAATGAATTATCAAACCCATCAGAGAAGTAGAATGCCATGGGGAGTTTGGCCTGAGAACAGGGTAAGGGAGGTGGAGGGTAGAGGCATATCTAATCTCTGCCTCATAGTCATCTGCTATGAGCCAATGTGGAGTTGGACACGCCTTTCCCCTAGTGTAATCCAGTTCTACATGGTCCCCATGCCATTTCCTCAATGGGTGTTTATCCTTATTGTAACTCTATCCATGGATGTAGTGGACATAGAGGGCAAAGTTATGGAAACTTCTTGAGCATAACCAAGTACCTTGGAAAATTGAATCACTGAGCATAACATGGTACAAAAAGTCTGCATCCTACCTTGGTGAGTATCCTCTAGGGTCATAAAAACTCATGAGTAGTCGTTTAAGATGAAACTATTGGTCTCTCTCCGTCTGGAAAAAGAAGAATGATGAAAATCAAAGGCAAATGGAAACAATTGGCCCAATGGACTAATGGATAATGCAAACATCAGTCTGTACCACCCAGATACCATAACTACATGGTGCCTGACTGCCACTACCAACGCTCTGAAAGAGATCACATCAGAAGGTCCTGGATCACGTGGAAGAAGCATGTGGAACAAAACTCAAAGGCAGGCTTGCTGATCAGATAGACTATGGAACACCCAAGACTGAGGCCTGTGGTCACTCGGGGTTTGGAACTAAACCCACCTTGTAGCTCAGTTTTCAACTAAGCAATAGGTCTTTAAGGAGAATAATAATACTATTGAGGTTTGCACACCTTAGAATAATCAATCA